TTCAGGAGACAAAAAGTATGGATGCGTGCTATTCAGATGAAAATGACAACAAAAAGCACCGATTTCGGCAGCATATATAAACGCCAGATCAAGTGCGGAAAAATAATGACAATGAGCATTCATTACGTGTGGAAGAGGAATAAAAGTTACACATGGGGTTACTACAAAAATTCCTTAATACAGGTAATGATCAGCAGACTATTAGAAAATAAGCACTAGATATTTAAACGTCGTTCTCGAACACTTAAGTTCCCGTCTAGAAATGGGCGTCCTTTCTCACCCTTACTAAGTCTTATGTCATTATCATTCTCTAGCCAAGTAATTCTTCGCTTCTTCAGTGATGAAGAAGATCGCCAATGCAAATAAAAATAGCGGTCCAAAGGCTTTTGAAACGTATATCTGGAAATTAAAGTAGAAACCAAGCCATTATCCAAAAAATCTTGTGGAATTATTTCCAAATTACGTGCATTAATTAATTAGTTCTCACAACAAAACTTTCGTAACACTGAGCAAAATCTGTCCACACAATTTTCTTCATACTGAGCTTACTGTAGCTTTAGAATAAGCACCTATCAAATGACACCATTGTGAGGATGATCCTGTATTTTCCAAGTTGATGGATTTTCCCATTGTCAGAATTTACCACGAGGTATTTCGCTAATTTCTTAAATGTTTATTACACAATTCATTCTCCAACAAAGTTGTGGTGATTGACTATTTCTATCTCTGTATTGTTTAAATACTTACTAGTGATTGTTAATATATTTCTTATATGAATTGCATTATAATTCCGCTAAATACAAATTCCTGAATTCCACCCTCTCTGTGTTTTGGTTGAATTCCCGTAATTCGGTCATCTCGAAATACTAATACTATGATTACAAATAATTGCAACAAAAGTATTAGTGATCGTAGTCGCTAACAGAGACTGTATTCTTACTTACTGTTTTAGGCAAGTTGATTGTCAGTAATCTATGTGCTTGCTGCTTATTTTTAGTGCCATTATTTCCATCTCTTATTAGTTCGAAATAATGCAAACCTCATATGTCGTCACACCTGCTACCGTGTGAGCTCTGAAAAGGGAGTGAATTTTACACCCTCTCGTTTAATTTCGGCTTTTGATGTGTTATATCCCACTAAATTCTATAGATTAACTTTATATCAGTTTATTCTGATCTCAGTTAGTTTACTTTTCAGTTTTGAGTCTATTTAATTTTGGGAAGTTGTGTTCTTGTAACTATATTTATGTACATCCATTTTTAAACAACCATTGGATTATTTTACCATTGGTTTACATAAAGGTCATATGTAAGGTCATATTTGAATCTTTTTGTCCCAGTTCACTCTGAAATGCACGCCTGTCAAAAGAAACCACTGAGAAACAGTTATGTGCCAATTCCCAGTTGAAGAAGGACTACAGTGGGATAGCTGCAAGAGGTGGTTGCATAGCCGGTGCAGAAACCTGCAGGTAAGAACCTCTGGCGAACTGGCTATGCAATGACGGCTGCAGTATGAATAAGTTTCGTATAACGGAAGCCATTGCCATTCTCAGTGGGGCTCTAAAGCTCATGGACTGCAAGGGTCCTCCACCCTGGGAGTGACTACTGCACAGACACCAATGACGTGACTAGCGTCTTCGAGAAGACAATACACCTTCCTGACGCGTCTCTGTCACGGAGTGAGTACCCTTTAGCACAGAACAGCATCCATTCAAGGCACCCATGCTGCCCCTACCATACCGGATAAGCCTTGTGGTCACAGTAATGGAAAGACTGGAACGAAGAAGAGGCGTAACATGGGTCGAAAACAGAAGCTGAAGTCACACAGGTGGATGGCGGATATAACCGAATACGGTTAGCAGGGAGGATGCCAATGAATGGCGTAGTATATTCTTCCGCAAAAGCGAGGAAAGGACCTCAAATGACCGCACTGTCCATGGTGGACTGAAAGAAACTTAGGGCGCAGAGCAATAAAGCCACGGCAAGCAAGCCTGATCTCCCTGACAGCTCGCTCATTCGTCACAATGTGGAGAAATCACCGGCTTCCGATCCGAAAATCAGGTTTGAGCGGTACCTTAACTTGATCAAGCCCCTCTTAGATAAAAACATTATCACACATAGGTTATATAGAGTCGGCCTAAGGCCTGACTCCACAGTAAATCAGCTGGTTCGTACTAAACTCCGGAGAAGAAAGGGTTGCCATCCTGAGCAACTCTCACACTCTTAAAGAAAGAATCAAGCATATTCGAGAGCGCCGACGTATGCCTAGCAGACCGTGTCAAAAGACAGTCTGTGGGTGTAGAATTAGGCGAATAACTCCGAAATCGCGGAAAGAACCTTAAGATTAACGATTTTCGGGTTGTCGACGTTTGATGATCCCGAAACCTCTGTGAGTAGGCCATGGAAGCGCCAAGCTGAGGTGACATCTTGCTGCACAAATGCTCGCAGCCTGATGAACAAACGGACTGGACTGGGTAATATGACAGACTCCGGAAATCCGGATGTAATTATCATGAGAGACATGACTCACACTGGATGTCACTGATAACGAAGTTAACCTACCAAACTTCGAAGTGCATGTCTGGAACGACTAGGCCGCAAAGGATGTGGCGTTGTCATCTATATCAAGAGATGCTTAACCGTGCGTAGCACTGAAGCACTCGCCCACGAAAGTGAATTGGATGAACTTCTATGCTGCAGACTTAAATGCACAGACCAAGATATTGACCTCATTACTGTACACCGCAGTCCTGACTGCAATGCAGACGACTTCTTAATAGATAAGCTACGACCTTGGACATCGAAATGGGGAGGTCTCGCATTCGGCGACTTCAATGCCACAACAGTTGACTGGATGAGACACACAACGCCACATTCAGATCACTCATTTGGTCATAAATTGCTGGAATCTAGCATTTCACTAGCCCTATTCCAACGTGTCATTAAGCCCACGCGCTACGACTTACCGCGCTCCTCCTCAACCCTGAACCTAGTGTTCTCACACGGTGAGGATGTGGATCTCACACATCTTCCTTCTTTGGTGAGAAGTGGTCACGGTGTGCCCACTCTCAAGTTTGCAGTAGCAGTATCATGGACCAAAACCCCAGCTCGACACATTTGAGACTCCTGAGACCAGAAAATTATACAACACCGTTAGGAACAAAGCTATCTTAGAAATCCGACCATCAAGGGTGAAGTTCGAGGCACATCTGGCTCAGAATGCAACGGCACAACCTAAAGAAATTTTCTGTTACATGAACTTCAGGAATAAGACATCCAATGGTATCCCAAACCTGACTATTGACAATTGCACATTCGAAGAAGATCAAGAAAAAGCAGAAGCAATGGCAGACTACTTCTACCAAGTCTTTACACACTAATCGTCACACCCCATAGAAGCAGCTCTGGCTGCATAAGAAGAAAACATGATAAATCCCGTCAACGTCGGCCAAGACATCGTGCATAACTGCCTGATGAAACTGGATGCAGGGAAATCAATGGGTCCCGAAAATCTTCATCCAAGGCTTCCCAAGGAGCTATCAGCCCACATAGCCGGCCCTTTGACCGCAATCTTCCAGCTATCTCTCCTAAATGGAGTGTCACTGCGTGATTGGAATGACGCCATAGTAACACCCATCCACAAAGGAGGATCAAGAAAGAGCCCTTCAAATTACAGGCCTATTAGTTTTAACAGCACTTTAGTCAAAACGCTAGAGAGAATCATTAAGAAAAGATTCACAGCGTATCTGGAAATCAACAATTTATTATCAAAAGCACAGCATGTCTTCCGAGGAAACCTTTCATGCTTGTCAAATCTTCTCATTGCAAGAGAAAGCTAGGTCAAATCAAGGGACAACAGAAGACCCGCTGACGTTGTCTTCATAGACTTTAGCAAAGCCTTTGATAAAGTTTCTCAAGAAAGACTACTCGTGAAGTTGGATTGTCTTGATATCAAGGATAGGTTACTAAACTTTCTTAGGGTTATTGTTCACATATAGGAGGCAGAGGGTAAGGATCAACTCGAAACTCTTCTCCTGCACAGCAGTGCGTAGCGGGATGCCACAAGGCACGTTACTCAGACCTCTCCTATTTATTTTGTAAATCAATGAGTTATCTCTGCTCACCGATTCCCCTATGGTCCTGTATGCAGATGAGTTAAGACTTTGAGCAGTTATACGCTCACGTTGTGGGAGGACCTCAACAAACTGTCACAGTGGTCCAGAGAATGGATGCTTCGAACCAATGTACCGAAATTTGCAACTATGCGCATAGGACAAGCAAGCATCAGCTCCAACGAATTAGAGGGAAGAAAACTCGTATCAGTTCAGACTCATTAAGAATTAGGTGTCATTGTAAGTCACGATTTAAAAACTACAGCACACTGTCGCGCGATGGCTGCACGTAGTTTCAGATCCTTATGGGCAATCAGCAGGACCTTACTAGAACCACGAGAGATATGTTCACCTCCTTATATACATCTCTGGTGAAGTCAAGATTGCAAAACTGCAGCCAGTCAGCCAGTCCTTGTCTTATAAAGGACTCACATATTTTAGATAGGGTCCAAAGGAAGGCGACATGTATAGTTCTCGGCATGACTAATGTATCATACTAGGAGAGACTAGAAAGTTTAAATCCCACCTCACTGTCATACTGTATGCAGAGATTTATTTACAGTGTTTAAAACTTTAAATAACGACTATTGACCTGACCTATTCTCTCTTTTCCTTCCCACCAGGTCGGAATTCCTTGAAGGACATAGCAGGAGAGTTCAAAAGCCAAGAAGAAATCATACTGCTTCGGAGTACCGGTTCTCACAACGAGTCGAACTCCTGGAACTGACTCTCAGAAGCAATGATATCTGCAACCTCAACTAAATAATTCAAGAAGAGTTGGGACAGCCACAGAAATTTATTAGAAAAGTACTGAAATATCCTCTAAATTTTTACATATGCTCTGAATCTGTTCATTGTTAAATCTCAAGGTCATCAAATCAGTTGCGTGATGTCCGCGCTGTTGAAACTAGGTTATAGTGTGTTTTCGAGAAGTTTAGGTAAGTGGTGCGGTACATAGTTTTGGATGTTTGATAATCCATAATTACTCTTTAAAGCACATTTCACTTTCTATAGTGTCTTATTAAGGTGATCTGTAGCTATCTCAATCATCAGAATAAGTGGGACATCCATTTTTAGAAAAATTAACTCAAATAGAGTCATTCAACTGTTATGGAAGTAGACATTTTACTTTACTATGGTCCGATATATGTTCGTCATGGTTGCTAGGATCTTTTCGTCTATGCGGATTTTGCACTCTTTTGATGTCTTAAATATAATGCCTTCTGTTTCATGAATTTGGGACATTTGATTTTGACCGTGATTTATTTTCACTTCCAACCTTTAAAGTTTACGGATCAGGGTTTTTGAGAGTATCAGTTAATCAGTCACTTACTAATTCTTGTGAATTCAATTGTTCACGAGGATAAGATCGATGTGCATAAATCCTCTACACAATGGTAAGAGTCAAGGTAACAACCTGAAACCTCACTGCGTTTACGTATGTGATCGATGATGCATGCTCATGTAGGGAACCGGTGGGTGAACTGTACGTCTGAAACTACTGGAACGTGTCGTCAATACAACGTAATCGCAAGCTCATATGACGCTATTTTAGAACAAAATATATGTCAAATTAATGAGAAACATTTAATACGTCTGCTGCAGTTAATAAATGTACAGCAAGGGTATCCAACTCTTTTAATTACCAAACACCTCTTGAAATTATCACTGTTACCTAACAGTTTTCTGATGTTCGTCTTGTTTTGTATATTTTACATATATATTTGTATATATACCTGGGTGTTATGAGACTAGTATATCCTACGTACATTAAATGCACTGCCTATTATCTTCCCTCTCATCAGTACAAGTGATTTGCACTAAAATTTACTTCGGATACCAGCTTCTTGACACACTTTTCAGACTCACGAATATTATTCACCACTGACTTGCCTTATAGTGTGTAAATCTTGTGAAAGTTACAGAAATTTGTATATGTGCACAGGAAAAGGAAATGTTATAGGACTACAACTGTCAGTTTACTGTCTGCTGAGTTTAATTCTGGTTGTAGTCGTGCTCTGTGCTTACACGTTACTTCCGACTTTGGGACAACAAATTATTCTCAAATTACAGTTAGTCAGTTAGGTATTTATTTCATTGGGAGTGTTTTGCGTTTTCAGTGAATGTAAACTTCTTTCCTGTTGTTAAACATGTCTGGGAAACCTGTTTTTGTTGACCACTCTTCCCTTAGGAATGTCTGCTTTTGGTGATGCCGAGGTCGGTTATCCGACTCATTACGGCTATCAGTCAACTTTGGGACTAGTTGCAAGAAGTAGTGTTGCACTCGCTATTGTGCTTCGTGGAGAAAGATGATGTGTTGAAGTAGTATCTGTCTTTACACAGCTCTGTCTGTCCCAGAGGTCATGAACTGAAAATTTAGATTCCTATATAAATGTTTCCCCATAGTTTCGAGATGAAAACATGGGAGAAATAATAAGCGTGATTGTAGTTGATTTGAACAGTCTTCGATTCTGATTAGTAAACCCACATGAGTCACTCAACTCATGTTCGCAGAGTATAAGTTATTTTAACGTTGTAGATTAAATTTTAAATTCGACTCTGACACTGAGTTTCCCTGTTTCTGTGTCTAACATAAAGCGTTTTGTGCGTTTGTTATCATGTTTCAATGTATCCTCCTCTTTTAGCTGGCTTCTTCAAGCAGTCACTAAATCCACCTTATGTATCAATCAGTCAGAAATGTACAAACAATAAATCATTTTCACAAACCGTCTCCAATGGTTCCCGATCATTATTTGGTGTACAACCAGCTGCCAGCCTAGCTACTTTAGCTCAGATGGCTATATGTGGCCCATATCAGAAGAAGCGCCCACCAAATAAGGCAATGAACGGAAAACCATTTATAAAAGGAATCGTACTGAAGACCCTTATACGTAAACCGAAGAAACCGAACAGTGCAAATAGAAAGTGTGTGCGTGTTCGTCTGAGCGATGGCCGTGAAATCACAGCTCATATCCCCGGCGAAGGTCACAATTTACAGGAGCATAATATTGTTTTAATTCGAGGTGGTCGGACACAGGACCTTATTGGGGTTAAACATAAAGTTGTACGTGGAAAGCATGATTGTGCACCTGTACAAAAACCTAGTCCTAAATAATATTTTGTAGAAATATAATTTTCGCAAGTTCTTCGGTATTTACATAGATGATGCAAATTGATTCATTCTTCTGATCTTTTTTATTACTTTTTCACTTAATAGTTTGTTTTACGGTTATAAGACAATTTTACCGATGTTTTCTCATTCTTAAACTAGTTTGTTTTTATTCAAATTACAGTCCTTTACCACTGGTGATTGTTCGTTGTAGTTGCATCATTGGACAATTCACATACTTCATAATATTCTCTGTAGACCAGTGGCTAAAAAGTGGCAGTAGCTCGCAGATATATTATGAGAACCTTAAATAGTTTGATCTGGTTCCAACATTCTTCGCATGAAGTGACAGAATCAACACAAATATAATAAGCTATTTCACGATGTACACACATGCTGCTTTCATAATTTCGCACATTTATCAAATCCAACACTTTGCACATGGTTTGCTGTCTTCACCAGTTCAGCCGTTTGACTAAGTTACTGCATATACGTCGAGATTCTGTAAATTCTGGTTTATTGTTGTTTTGATAGAGCTGTCAGCATCATATAGCAAAACATCTGCAAAAGCAACCTTGGTAACTGGAGTAGTACCATCAGTCCTCACACAATAAGTTTGGTTTATTGCCTGGAACACGAGAGACAAGTTGCATGCGTACTGTCAATGTTATCGATGTGAATTGCATACGGTTTATTATAATTAAGTCAGTCACAAAATTTCTGAGAATTATTCGCTAGATTTTTCCTTTGGTCTTTTGACAGATTGTTATGGGATAGATAAAAGAGCACTTGATTAGGTTGTGTCATTTGAAATGCTCGCTTATATGGTGAAAGTTTAAATTCTTAAATTTTTTAGAAATTTGAAATGTTCATCGTGACCATGGTATAACCGAGTTGTTTTCATAATTTCCTCGTGTTCATCAACAAACTTAAGTCTTGAAAGCGAATTAATCGAGTTCGACAAAATGCTGTTAAGTTCGCCTTATAGTATAAAACAATCAAATGTTTGATTGCATGGAGGATTTCATCAGTTAGAGAACCACTGGAAAACCTCTAACTGATGTCAGTTCATGATGAAATCCCCCATGCAATCAAACAAATAATCCCCACAGTGGTTAGGACTGTCGCCGATCATGCACATGGTCCGGGGTTCGATCCCCTGCCGACACACGCCTGATATCTATGATCGGCCTGCAAAATTTGGGCTACCGATATCACATGCTGAAAATTCCATACCTGTACCAAAAAATACAGTGTGGAATCAAGGTGTAATCAAAGAAAATGTTTATCATAATTTGTAACCTAATTAGGTGTATAGAGTAGATTTCCTGTGGCACGTGTGGAGAACCGATGTTTGTTAGCGAATTAAATTCTGTATAATAAGGATCGTCTTATCAAACTTTGTGCTTAACAGGATAGTGTTTTGTGGATTCCTTAAATCTAATTATGATAGAGTGATGAGTTGATTTATCTTATTTAAGACCTAAAATAAACAAGTTAAGCAGAAATCCTGTATTGTGGTCGACAGCTTTACGAGAAGACTATTGAAAAACAAATCATTATGTATTACATAGATTCAGTAATTCGATAGTACTTCAGAAGTGAAAAAAGACCATTTTTAGAATTCTTAAATTGCATAGAATGATGAATTGGTAACAAGTTATAGAATGTATTCGGTGTTCTGTAGATCTATCTCACGAATTCTGTTGGGAAGTAAGATTAAGTGACCAGATGTTTATTTAGGTTCTTAATGGCACCTCGTTGGGTGTAGGCACTCGCTACCATAACTTGTCTGTGGTATCTGTTTCTTCTCAAGTGCTATTAAAAGATAGACACTTTGATTTCACGTGAGTTTGCTGTGAAAATATATATTTAGGCCTAAAGGACAATTTATGCATGTTGAATTATAAACCCTGGTAACAAAGTACAGTTACTAGGATTATCACTGCGTACGGTTGCAGGGTGACTCGTTTATGACCTCCTCTGCTAGTTTTGGCCATAAATATGTATTCGATAATCACTTGAAGTATTCGTACGTTCGATGTTCATGTTTGCCGCATTAAACCACTTTTGTAATATTGATCACACAGCTGTTGTTCGCTTTATAGTCTCTACTAGAATCTTTAACTGAGTTACTAACACATATATTCAGTATTCACTACTCGATAGAACAGATAAATTGTTCTTCCACTGTCATAAATGAGAAGCAGCTGTATACGTCCAAGTATTTTTCATAGTTACCTAGTTGCCATATTACATTCCTTTTTTTTTTAGTTGAAAAGTACATTAGTGATCGGGTTTGGATGTTAAAAATTGGTACGTTCAAACATTCAATAGTAACAAACCGACCCCTAACTCCAGAAAACATGATAAGCTCTCTAATTGCAAAATTTAGTCCTTCAGCTAGAGGTAAAACATTTTCTAAGTTCATTTCTAATACTCTAGTCTTCAAGTATATGATTTTGGTAACCTTAGACCTGTCAATCTTAGGTGAGCCTCACGTATTCATTAGCTACTTGAAATTTCTCTCTCTCTGTCTGTCTGGATTCAACATAGAACTTGGCACCGAAGTGCAGCAGTTCGAGTTGCCACGTTCCAAATAGCACACAGACGTAGACAAGAAGATGAGTGAAGAGAATTAATAGAGTTTGACAAATATAAGAGTGAAACAGAATGGGTAATGGTAGAAAGGAATATGAAAGATTACAGAGATTGAATACATCTGCGCCATTGACAACGATTTTGAGCCATGTCACCTATTGTCTCCAGCCATTGATTCCTAGAGTCCCGAGGGCCCCAACCCGGGAGTCTGCATCTCCCTACCTGACTCAGTTTAACTGTCAAGGATTTCATGGATTGATGCCATGTTTTTGTTTGGCCACCACTGGCTCTTTTCCAACCTGAACCTATATCAGCTAACAATGCCCGTCGGGGGAGGCGGTGGTTAGGCATGCGCAGCACGTGACCTAGCCATCTTAGTCTATGTAACTTTATAGCCTCGTCGATTGATTTTCCCTCTTTGCCCAACACTCTACGCCTAACGTCAACATTACTTACCTTATTAAACCACCTAACGTGAGACAGAGATCGCAGACATCTATGATCGAAAGCAGTCAACCTTTTCATGTCTTCAACGCGTATTGGCCATGTTTCAGAGCCATAGAGAAGGGCGGAGCGAACTGATGAGCAGTACACACGTCCCTTGGTTGATAACCGGATGTCACGCCTACGCCAGAGATGGTGTAAGTCAGCGAAAGCAGCTCGAGCTTTTCGGATCCGTGCTGAGATTTCATCGCCAATCAGTCCGTTGGTGCTGATACAACTTCCCAAGTAGGTGAAGTGGTCAACATGTTCTATCACTTCACTCCCTATCACTAAGTTAGTAAGTTAGTAAGTTCTAAATGGTTTGTCTTCACTCATTCCATAATTAGACTGTCTTCGGTTCTTGATATTCACTCACTATGTTAACATTTGAGAGGACTAAGTCATTCACTGATATTATGTGGTGATTAGTGCTGTAAATTTGTGATTTGATAAGCCGCAAAACCTGTTTTCGGTCGGAAGCAAAGTTTCGAAAAGGAAGTTATTCATTCAGAGTGTTTGGACTGGACTTTTGTCTTTTGCCAATGCACAATCAAGATCGAATTATCGGCGGATATTTTCTCGGTGTATATTCTGATTAAATCTTCAACAAATATACTTTCTCTTCCCGAAAACGATGTCTCTGAAAAGGGTTGATGTCGAGAGGATTTGAGATGATGTAACTGTCTTGTTGTAAAGATCGATTTATCCTTCATTTTAAGGACACAATCGAGGATGGTAGTGTCTTGGTAATGCTGAATGTTTCACGTCGTTTCACTAACATACTAGTCCAGGTTTGTGTTTAACATATTCTGTTGCATATTATTATCGAATACACAGATTCCTGGTGAATATTTATCCATGAAATCGGTCGTGTTGTAGCCAGGTAGTGATTTCAAATAACACAAGGTTCCTATTCACCTCTTATTTCATTTCAACTTGTTCTTACGGGATTCTCTTCTTAGTACTTTACCTTGTTGAACAAACCTTTGTTTGTATTGATTTTCTTTATTTCTTTCCGAGCATACAGCTGTTGATAACATATTCGCGAAAGCGTTTGTTTTCATGTAACCTCTAGTTGTAAACACTGTAAAGAATAAATTAATAATCTGAAATAAATTAGTTCTCTTCTCTCGGTTTTCTTTCTCTATACCCGTTTAACCATAAGTATTGCATTTTAGAGGGTGGCGTTTTGCATTACCCGCCATCATGGATGTAATTTCTCACAAAGTGGAAGATATATTTGACAATGCACCTCCCAAACATGAAGAGAATCTCGTCGTTTCACCCATAAATTCGTACGATCGTAGCATAAACTCTGAATCGTCTATTTCAACCGGGGGCTCTGAAGCATCTTCCCCTCCATGTGTTCCCCAACCTGTTCCACCAAATCTTCCTATTGATAGATCATATGGCATTCGTAGCTTGGTTGGAGTTGGTTTGCTGTTGTTTTCAGCTTATGTTGGTTCAATTTTCCTTCATGCCCCACTACTTCCGTTGGCGATTATATCACCGCGTTCATTTCGTTATCTTGTCGACGAACTTTTAATATCCTGGTTAATGTTTGCTGAGGTAAGTATGTAGCAGAAATTTTAAACTCATCCTTTGAATATAATTATTGTAGCTATTTGGTTTAGTATTTTAACCTTTTGATTTTTAGTTACATTATTTTAGCTCTAGGTCATTCCACTTTAAATCGATTCAAAAAACCATCTGTTATATGCAAAGCATGCAACGTGCAACTTACGGTAATGACCCATTAAGGTGAATCTAGTTTGTCAACAAAATAAAAGTAACTTCCATAATTCCGCATTTTCTGAATTTTTTTAATGGCAGCTTAGTTGGATTATTCATCTGATCACTGTCAATGGGTTTTTCATTATTATGTGAAATTTAATGATAAGTAAAACACAAGGTAACTGTGATAAAAAATCATTATAGACTAAAAATTTAATGGATATCAATAATGAAACGCAGAGGAGGTCTGAAACACTCTGATTTTTAGACTAAGAGTTGTTTTTCAGATCTCCTTCCTAGAAGCTTTGATGGTTATTTTAATGTCTGTTTTGTTAACATCTGTCAAACGGGGATAGTTTTACTCGTCTTTATTTCTTCTATCGTATAACTATTTCTAGATTTCAGAGACTATTTCTAACAAATTCACTATTGATACTGTGTCATTTTATAGCCAGTTATTTGATTTTCTTAATGGAAGATAAGACATCATGTGTGACTTGAACTGCCGCACATTTGTGCAAAGTTCTATGTCGAAAACAGATAGATAGACAGACAGACAGACATCATGTACTTTTCTTTTTAAAGCTCCCAACAAAACTGTTTTATATAAGATTAGTTGATGGTGTTCCTCTGGTTAGTTGTTAATAAACTGAGACAGTTACAAGGGATGTCTACATTTGAAAGTTCATTATATTCACCTAGACTGACAAGACAGTTGATTAAAAAAAAACAAAAAAAACTAGATTTTTGTCTTACGTTCACTTAATCTCTATTTTTATCTGTATCTGACATCATGTGCTACCATAAACAAGAAAAAGTTATAAAGTCATTCTTATGAATCTGAATCTAATGTATGACTTAACTTCACGTATGATTATTTAGCTATTTTCGATTTTTTATTAATTCAAGATAATACTGTCTCATCGAATATATATCCTACCTTCAAATACGTTGCCCGCCTTAGAAACACTCATAATTTCATTTTGTCAACCGTTTTGGTTTTATGAATAATGATCTTACAGAAGGCACACCAGACTATAAAGAAATCTTTGAGTGCACGAAATCATATTCAAGATCATTGCTGCTGATCGATTTTTTCTATCTTTGAATAAATACTGATACCTCACTTCTTTTATTTTCGAAAACAGTCCATCTGACCCAGGTTTCGTGCTTGCTGGCATATATCATCCAAGTGTATCTGCGAAACCCTCAAAAAGCTGATACTTCCCGGAAGATTCGAATATGCGTCACTCAGTAACGAAGTAATCAGCTTTACCATTAAGTTGTTTAAGTTATAATTATCCACATGATTTGGTCGCCTAATGTTAACCAATGCACCTTCTGAATCCTAAGTGTGTCAGTCAGTATGTCCTTTCTTAAATTGCTCTGACAACAATGTCTAATATGAGGATAGCTATTCCATCACACAACTGAACAGCCATGAAAACATCGAAATAATAATTCTGGTCAATATAAAACATCCAACATAGAAGGTAACTGAAAGATCAAGAGTAGATCGTTGTACAGGTGTTCATTAGTTTGAGTAACCGCCTTTAGAATTAGAACGCAACCCAATAAGTGGAAACAAAATCAAACTACACTGGATAAACAAGGTTTTGGGAACAGGTTATAATTAATTGATAAGTAATAAGAATCTTCGGGATTTTGAGAATGTCAACGACTGAATGCATTTACACCATTGAGAACGGTTTTAGTCCATGTCACCAATAGTGCCCAAATATGTGTATCATATGTCCCAGTTACTTACTTTACTTCGGCTATCTCCTACGGGAGGATGAGCCGGCTTCATGAACATCTGGAATCATCGCTGCCCAGGTGCGGCGATCTGATGCAAGGTTTTGCGACAGGGTTATCCAATTCTTGTTCTACAGACCGGAGTCCGTAGACGGTTTGTAGCCCCAGACACTCCATATCAGCCTTGACTGTACCAAGCCATGTTTTCAGCTGTCCACCCCTGCGACATCGCCAAGATGAAAATGGCGAGGGATTCAGAACTGATTTGACCAGATCGTCATCTGGTCGGCGCAGAACATGGCCAAACCACCGAAGGCGACGTTGTTGGACCAGTACTGGAATTTGGTTGATGTTGTAGAGAGTTCATGGAGTTTCATGGGAATTATGTACGAGTGATGTCCCAGCATCGCTCGACCTTTTGTTTGAGTGCAGCTCTAGCCCTTACACAACCAAGTGTGACCTACAAGGCAGTAGGAGTGAAGTAGGGAGTCCACTATCCATTGGTAGCCGGTGACCGGAGTCCGGTTCATACGCCTTTTTGAATGGGGTCAGACATCCAGGGCATCCAATAAGCCCTATGTCCATACGTCTGCCGGTTAGCTCCGGTGAGCTTCATACGCCAGTCGTTGGAGGTTTGGAATCAGGGTTTAGCCATCTCCCCCAGACTGTCATCCAATGAACAGTCAACCCGGTGAAGAGCGCCGGGCATCCGCTTTTGCCCTCTCACTTCGGTGAAAAACACCTCCACCACGTGAAGGCAGTGAGTAGGACTTCCTCAGGAGAGGCTATGTAAGACGCCCGGTCATATGGGAGCATTTCAAGAGGTGTACGGAGGGGTGGCCAACCCGCAGCGCAAGGCACCCACCCCCGACCATCCTGAGGCTTTTGAATTCATTTTAAATCTTAGGCTGCACATACTTAGTAAGAAGTCATATTTTTTGTTTCGCTCGGTGTCGTCGAAGAAGTCATCGATATGGAATGCTGTTTCTACTTAAGAACCGTGTGACAAAGCTAAATTCAGTGATTTTGTGGGAATGTCTTATGGAATGTTTTTTTAAAAAAAAAATTAACTAAACCTAATGTGTAGTGTGTGTGTGTGTGTGTCTAAATCCTCATTCCAAATGTTGAAGTACTCGTGATTAGAATGTGAAAATCATTTTTGATGAATGAATGACTTATCCTGCATACAATCCATTTTTTTTTTTAGTACAAGGGATCAGCTATAACTATTCCCGTCGAAGTATACGATTCAAAAGTGGTCTGCGCTTAGTATCTAAGTTATAGATCTGTAGAAACTTTGCAATTGCATAGTTCCGTGTTGTGACATATTTTCCTGTTTATCTTTCACAATAGCTGTGGCATTTCATGCAATCGATTTAGCTATAGCTGGTTGTTTGAACTGATATGCTGTTATGTCCTCGCATAGGATTCTGGCTTGAGAACGAAGACATCCACTTTTTGATAATTAGTTCGCGTTTATCAGCCCCTTGAATCTGCTTTAGTTTGGGTGATTAGGTGCTGAAATTAATTCTCACAAACTTATACTAAAGGTTTTAGAGTATTTCAGTAAATACAGTCATCATAATTATCTGAACTACTGTGTAATAGCAAAAGGCAAGACACGGAAGCCAAGGTATGTTTTTCATTGATCAAACCTCTGTTTATGTATGTACAGTTTATATTCTTTAACCAGTCACTTAGCGTGTGATTCTGATTTACATTAAACGATATGAAATAGAATGTTCAAATACATATATAACATTCTGCAGCTAATGCTGTATTGAACTGTGGGAATAGTATTCAAACGTTAGCACCAACATATACAATTATTCTTACTTTGAGAATGATATTCCATTGGCACACATTGTTTGTATCACACCACCACAACTTTACCTAACTTTCTGTAGGGTTGTGTCTAGCGTCTAACAACATTTTGGTGTTAACATCCGATAAATACATCTCTTGGCGGTTAATATTCAAGCTTATTTTATTTAAAGTGCATCAAGTAATTTGCTATAGACTTGAATGAATAACTTACTGCTGTATGCGGAATTAATGGTGGTGAATATAGCAGAACAATTCGTGTTCGTCGCTTTTAGAAATGGAAGTCAGTATGCTAATACAATTGTGTCGTTCAACTGAATTGATTTAAATTGTTTAGTAAATTTACTATGTGGATTTACGCAGTCCCATTTTTTAATTGGAAATATTTTGAGCAGGCCTACTGTCTATTGTTACATTCACTATTGGAATTTTATTCCTGCATAATCAAGTATTAACAAAATGAGGAGAAAATGAACTTAACACAGTCTAGACGTACATTACAAGTTTAATTATAGTGTATTGATCCATTCCGTAAGGCATGCTCTCTTCATTTAGATAATGCCATGCCTTTTTATATATTCTCTTATAACATTTTAGTACTAAATGAATGGCATAGAGTGTAGAGTGTATCACTTGATATTTAGGTATTTCTTTCTAAAATGACTATACTGACCACATCTATTAGGTAAAATAATGGAGTAAGGAAACTAAAAGTGACATGGCTGAATGGATCAACCAGTGGTGTCCTTCAGAGATGTTCATCATAGATGCGCGATTGGATTTGATGCCAATCAGTTTTAGTGACTTAGGGCTTGACTTGTTACCAGGCAATAATCTCGGTAATTTGCAGTATACAGATATGGTCCTTCTGGGTGAAGACAATGACAAAATGTAGGGTCTTGTGAACATTGTGTATACGTTTTTGAGTGGGATTTTCCCTTGATAAATATAAGATAGGAGGTGAAGCGATTGGCCGTGTTTTTCACTTCACTTATTTGGACGGTTGCATCAACTCTAATGGACTAGTTTCTGAAATCTCAGCTTGGACACAAAAGGTTGTTGTATCATCGTTAGCGTCGACGTTGTAGATAAAGTGACGTGTGTACTGTACAGCAGTTTACTCCGTCTTTGTGAATTTACGTCAATTGAGATGACTTCAATCCATATCATGTCATCGTCCTATTTGTCGTAGTTAGCTGACAGGGTTGGTTTGGAAAAGCGTTAGGGGCGGTCAAACCAAAACATGACACCATTCCATGATTGTTGGTTTGAGGCATGTAGGTAGGAGAGGGGTCCTACAGACTGCCTGGCTGGGTTCCTTGTGGTATCTGGTGACTGTTAGTGATGTGAATCAAAATCGTTCTCAGGGGTTTACATGCATCCACTTTTTGTGATTTCATAGATATGTCGAATTCTCATAATTCTTTATATGCTTATTCTTACTGCCATACATTCCCGTCTATTATAGTCTTTTCTGCATTATTTTCCCTACCCTTATATGTGCTTTATGAAGTCTTACAAAGTTTTCCGTCGAAAGTTTGTTTTGGTTCTGTTTAACGCTGTTAGTTTTATGCTATGACTCTACATATGATTAACAGTGTTATTTACGCTCTCTTTTAGTTTGTTATATATAAAATTCTTGGTTGCCGTGTTCGTCAGTTCGGTGATCGAGTCCTACCATCTACGTCATGTGAACCTCGCAGTTGCTTGTTTATACTCAATCATCGAACACAGTTGGATTGGTTTTTCGTATGGGGCTTAGGTGATCCAATTCATCGGATGAAAATTATTCTAAAAGATTCTCTTGCTAAAGTTCCTGGTGCTGGTTGGGCTATGCAGTGCGGTAGCTTTATATTTCTACGTCGACGTATAGCAACAGATCAAGAAAGATTGCAGAAAACTGTTACTTATTTGCTTGATATTCAAGACAGTTGTCAGGTGAGAAGTTTTTAACTTAAGTGTTCAGATTGCGTTTTAATGCAACTGTGTCACCGATTGGCGAATTTATATAACAAATCCTGTTTGTCGCCAGTATTCTTACCAAGATAGGGCGTTGACCTATAAAACCAATGAGGTCCCAGATGATGGATTTGTTTAAGACAGACTCCTTTTAGCCGAGTAGTTTCAATGCAATAGATTGAAAGCCAAAGGAATATTCGGTTCGCATCACGATTCACGCCAATAACTTCAAAGTCTCTTATCACAGCTGACAAAGTCCTGGATTGACAACCTCATTACTTAGAAACGTAAAGCTGTTTGACTGACGTCTGCTGAGAAAAGTAGGTCTCCTGGTTTTAGGCAAGTGGCTTATAATCAACAAGTCCTCATTTCTGTCAGCATAATAGTTTTATTTCTGTCATTAGCGCTTTTCATTTCCTCTTTCACTGCTCTAATGTGATTTTCGTTGATTACTTAGCCTAGTATTCACTTTCATCAGCTGACATGTATGTGCCTGTTACGAGCCATCGCTTTTCTGTATGCATTATATTGGCTTAAATATGATTGGATTGGGGAGAGGTGAAAGACAGTCAGATCAAAACATGTCTTATCGATTCATAAAGTCTTTCCTTACTGGTGTGAGCCACGCAGAAAAAAGGGTAGATTGCTCAACTCTAGTCTCCGGAATGCTCAGAATCAATAGCTGGAGACTGTTGGTAGTTTAGCTGAGCATTATTTATCCCTGATTCTCAAAATCTCTAACCAACATCTTATGATTTCTCTCCCCCCCCCCATACATCTTTGTTCATTTTAGTTTCACTATATTTCTTCCCCTATGTTCTTGTATACTTTTCCTAGGCTGATGAATTTCTGCATAATCTGACTGCATATAGATATGAATCAATGCATACAAAATATTACAAACAGATTCAGAATTATACAGATACATATATGAACACAGATGAATATAGTATTTAGAAAGTCACTTAAGAACATCATTAGATCAAACGTATATAACAGCCACTAATTTAATATGCTTATTATTATTATTATTATTTTTATACTTGACTGAAACCTTTAATAATAAGGGTCAAAGAGACAACTAAGACTTGTTCATCTATTCAAAAAAAGTTTGTTTTAGCAGTCCTAACAATCTACCAAGGTGAATGAACAAAATGCTACTGAAGCACATGGATACACAATATAATAAGGTAACACATTATTAAGCCAGTAAGTTAAGGGTGAACTCAGTCTTTTTAGGTCAGTGTTACTTACTCATCGTTATCATATAGTGATCTGTGTTGTCTTCATTTATGCTGTGTTTAATGATTGCATGTAGGTTTAATTAAAGTTATCGGATAATCAGGCATCTGTAGTGTCCATGAGAAATGAGAAATATAAAATATATATTCAACTGAATGTTTCATATTTATCTTCTTATAAAACGAATTAGCTTTATAGTGATTGTGTTTAAAACGCAACCACAATTATTCACCAATGGCTTGTGTCTAGCCAAGGGGTTCCAAATGAGATTAAGCCCTTAATCAGTGTATGGGGGTGCTCTCACAATAGTAAAAGGGCGAATGTGGATGATAATAATAATAATAATAATAATAATAATAAGGCTTTATTTCAGACAATATGCGAAAATATGGTACACAAATTTCCAGCGTATTTAGTTCCAAAATACATTTTACCCTTCGTACAGGGCAACAATAAACAATAGACCCCGTCTTCAGGCGACCTTGAAGCAGCCAATCAGATTCTCCTAGGTGAAAAGTGGTACCTAATTTATAAAGAAAGTGTACCTATGATATATATGTAACAGAGATGAATCATACAGGGTGCATATCTCTAATATGCTGCAAAAACTGGCCCCAGTTTCTCATAGAAGTGGTTAGGGACACATCAAACTGATGTATTCTCTATTTCTGCAGATTTAGCAAATACTGATCGCATATGCGCAATATTTTACTGAGGGAGAGTTTCGATTTCGAGAAAATGTCTAAAAAGTCAACAATTTTTTGACTTAACAACTCTTACAAACGCCTTCACATAAAGTGGTTGTATCTGAGTGCATAACCATCTCAGTAACGCGGTAATACGTTTACAGAGTCAGTATTCCCCCACATATGCATGGTTTAGTCCTCCCTATCAATCCATTTTCCACAGAGAAGTCGAAAAACGAAATCTAGGAGACACTTGCAACGAGAGTTATGACTAGCAACCATTTGTAATGCTGAGCTATCTAATTGGCCGAATCAAGGTCATTTGGCTTTGGTGTCTATTGTTTGCTCTTACCTTGTACAGGATTAATATGTAAAGTAATAGTAATGATAGTAATAATAATAATAGTAATAATAGTCCGAGGTATACATTCATTTCGTTGGAGAATTGCACAGTGTTACTGGAAAGCAAGTCCAATCAGTGTGCAAGTTCATGTATAGATAATTTGATATAACTGGACGTTTAAAACAACGATAAATCCAGATGAAATTAAGCATTTTGCCGGAAAGCAATTCTGATAGCCTAGCGATTTAAGCAGGCCACCATTATTTTAGAAATAATATAGGTTGACAGAAACAATGTTATTTCTAAATTCCCATTTACTCATTTGCAAAACAACAGATTGACCGAAGAAATAGGTTCCTTTTCACTTAGTTACTCGGTTCTACACTAATATGTAGTTTTTTACATCAAAATTTTCTATCAATCAAGTAGTTATTTCAGTTGCAGGTGTGGGCGGGGTGAAATCAAGAGGTTAAAGGTCATCAAAACAAATAACTAATAGATGTTAGTAACAAGATGTAACAAGTTTTAAGAGAGGGGTGAAAATTCATGACGGAATTCAGGATAAGTTGATTCTTAGGCGTTAACATGTTAATATATAATGAAGAAATTTTTAAGATAGTGTTTGATGACTAAGAAGAAAAGAATGACTCAGAAGAGTTACGTAAAATACAAACAAAAACAAGTTAATAGAATTAGCTAGAACTGTAAAAATTGTAAAAATTAACAAAGTCAAAAGATAGTTACAAGGGTAGGGGGAAAAATTGTTTTTAAAACTTAATACATATTATGTAGTTGGCCATAGCGAAGAAACTTAGATATTTGTTCCGTTTGGTCTTTCTGGCTACTTTCTTTTGAAAATTTGGTTTTCATCTGACATGACGGATAACATTTTATCGATGTAGTCTTGGCAATCCACCAGGACAATGTTATCCGTCATGTCAGATGAAAACAAATTTTCAAAATAGAGTAGCCAGAAAGACCAAACGGAACAAATTGAAGGAGAGATAACACAAGTGCTGAAGAGGATGAAGCACGAATCGATTATCAGCTCTGAATTATTTGAGCGAATACGACCCTCAGGTTCCGGGATTCCCCGTTAACATGGTCTGCCGAAAATGCACAAAGAGAATGTGCCACTAAGTCCAATCTTGGATATGACTAACTTTGATATCTTGTTACTAACATCTATTGGTTATATGTTTTGATGATCTTTAACCTCTCAATTTCACCCCCGCTTATAACTAAAACTGATTACCTAAAATAACCACTACCTGGGAAGCCTCGTTTCAACTACAGGCCGGCGGAACTTACGAGGATATCAAAGCCAGAATCGGAAAAGCAAGACAAGCTTTCGTTACTCTCAAATCTCTTTGGAGGTCAACAGCACTCAGCATCAAAAATAACATCCGGATTTTTCAACTCCAGTGTGAAGTCAGTGCAACTGTACGGATCAGACACTTGGAACGTAATAAAGACCATCTCAAACAAACTACAGGCCTTCATCAACAGCTGCCTTCTCTCAATACTCAAGATCAGATGGCCGGTCAGAAAAGATCAGCAACAGGGATCTCTGGCAATGAGCGAACCAACGTAGCAGGAACCGATTGTGCAACAAATATGCAGGAAGAAATGGAAATGGATTGACCATACGCTGAGGAAACCATCAAAAGAAATCACTAGACAAGCCCTCGAGTGGGACCTGAAAGGGAAGCGGCGAGTTGGTCGTCAGTGCAAGGGTGACTCGGAGGAAATCGTGTGAAAAGGAGATGAAAGCATGTGGGCAGACCTGGAGTCAGGTGAAAACTCTAGCAGAGAACCGAACGCAATGGAGACGCGCGGCTGAAGCCCTATTTTCCTCAAGGAATTAAAGGAAATAATAATAACTTGATGTAAAAAACTATATATTCGTGTGGAGCCTATGATGAGGAACTATCTGAAAATGAAATAAAGATGATTAATCTTGTGATTATTTGTACTTTGATTCGAAAAATTTACACTTCGGTTGTACTGCATATTTGTTTTATTCTAAGTCTGAAACACATTGACATTTGATATTAGATGGCTGGAAGCCTTGGAACTAGGTTTCGTGCTAGTTGGCACTAGTCAGCAAGGCGTATCTGCAACCTTGATGGAACTCAATGTCTACCGCATTGACATTAGAGGTTAAGGCTCAGAAATATGAAATATCTTGATAAGTCATTAAAGTTAATAGTATATTGGTTTAATTTATAATGATTGATAATAATATTTTTCTTATCTATCTTGTTTCTAGTTATTGATATTTCCTGAAGGTACAAATCTAACCAAAGTATCAATAGCCAGAAGTGATACTTTCGCTGAGAAAAACAATCTACCGTATCTTCGATATACTCTTCATCCTAGAAGTACAGGATTTCTACACTTGATAAAACTTATTGGTTTAGGTCAGTCAGTCATTCAGTTATTTATTTATTTGTTTTTTTTTATTGATTTTGCTATATTTTAAAATTGCGTCATTTTCTGTCATACAGTGTACTACTACTTACTATCCAACCCCTCTGTGTATTGGTTAGCTGTTAGTAAACTGTTTTGTCTATAAGTTTGTGAACAGTTCATCGCTGCAATTGCACTATGACTACATTAATGAATGTAGATATTTCACTTTCAGCTCATTTAAAATCTCCATTTGAACATTAATAGAAAGGAGACCAGTAGTTCAGCGAAGAGTCTCTTTTCGGCGAATTCATTTTCTCAGCTGTACAATCGCAAATATATATGAATTATTTTGTATGCATGCCTACATTAAGTTTGTCAAACGAAAACCTACAATTTGTTATGATTATGAACAGGTGAGAATTAATAAGTTTTGAGTGGAGTTACGCAATACGAGAAGTATTCAGAGGAATTGGATGTTGATATAAGAGGGTAGTAATAAAAGTGATGAGTTGTCACAAACGATTGTTAAAGAAGAGTTGCGTAATAACATGAATAGTTTGATGAAAGAGTTATGCTCAGGGTGAACATGGAAAAAAAATAAGGTACGGAATTAAGTGGTTAGAAACACAAGGAAACAAGCAGAAGTTCAGTCAGATCAACAGAGTTGTTACCATGATGGTAAAAGTGGCTATGTAATTTTTTTTGTATACATAGTTCTGGTCCTTCTAACTGAATGGCTAAGGCTTCTGCAATGCAAAGAAGGCGGAAACGTATTGTCTTTGGCAGGTTGTTCTTTCTAGATTACTTTGAAGGAGGCATGTTGACGAGATGTTCGATTATTGCACTCCTTATACGACCACTACTTCCTTTCTGCAGCCACGTTGGATAGTGTTCTTTGACCCTTTTTGACAGAAGGCGCATCGAACGACCGATGTACCACCTGCCTCCACAGCAACAGGTGAGTTGATTTATACACATAGAAGTGGTCATGTGCGAGATCTTGTCCTTCGGACTTCTGCGACTGGAGAACACTACTCTGAGTGTTGCCGCGAAGAAAGTTGTTCTTAAAAAAGTGAAAATTCTCCTCAGAAGGACATCACTGAGTAGGTCACCTTTGAAGTCAAGCTGTCTTTTTGGCACGGATGGCGTCTCTTGCTTTTGGAATTTCTGTTTGATGTTTTGTCTATGGATCTTGATGGATATCAATTTTGTGTGATGGTTTCTTTCAGGAAGTGTAGTTCTCCTTGCAGGGTATCAGAGCTGCAGATGCGTCGGACGCGAGTAGCAAGAGATCTAATTGGGTTTCTTTTTTAACTGATTTGCACACAGCTGTAGAAGGTTGTCAGTTTGCCGCTCCCCGTGGGTTTCGTATGGATGGACCTTCTTAAAGTTCCATCAGCCCTTCTTGTAAGTTCAACATCAAAAAAAAAAGTAATTTTAGATCCGTTTTCTAGTTCAAGAGTGAACTTTGTAGCTGAGTGTCAGTTGTTGAATATTTGTAGTAATCGATTGAGATCGTGACCATCATCACAGATAATGAAGATGTCGTCCACATATCTAGCATACAATTGGAAGTTATCATTAGTTGATTTGAGTGGGCCATTCTCGAAGTTCTCCATGAAGCAGCAGTCTGCTAGCAATAGGCCCAGTGGAGATCCCACTGCGTTCTCATCTTGTTGTCTGTATATAACGTCGTTGAATGTGTGGACTGTACATTAAGTGTACATCTCACTTTCAACTGTTCGTTATTTTCTGCTTCTATACAACTGTAAACTACAGCATATGGAGACTTTCGATTACACAATATGCTTTTAACGATACAGTTTTCCCCTCAACCAATCCAGATTTATTGCCATCATCCTAATCAGTTGTTTTTGAATAACTGTACCACATGCTTGTAAATGAATTAATTATTCATTGTATCTGCATTTAAGCAATTAGGCTTTCTATGGTGACAAAGCAGTCAGGCACTAAATATGTGTATAATTACAGTTAACTGCTGGAATGTTTCATTCCTGTAAGCAGTTGTGTTGTACTAGGCATTGTTTCACTCAGCTACTTTCATAACCCCACTCATTCTAAGTACCATTTTTTCTTTCATGATACACTTTCCGATTTTTGTGTATGAAACTTCCACATATCTATTTTTATAAACTTGTTAAGATGCATTGTAATAAGTTGAGTAGAGCAATAAAAACGTGAAAAAAAACACACAGCAAATTGTTAAATTCAATAAGTCAAAACCAAAGTCTATATTAAATGAAAAATAATGTGTACTTAAATTAGCTTGAAAAGTCGATTTCGTTATCTTGTTAACAATGATTTAATGAAATGAAATGAAAAGTTGAGAAAAATTACTCTCGGAAACTTTAGTCATTAGGTGAGAATACAGTCTCCAAAAGCCTGTCTAGTAGATCCACACGCCGAGTATATCTGCATGATTTAAAGCATGTAAAGCTTTGGCGAACTCCCGACTTCCAAACACTAGTTCGAGCGCTATTTTAAATATTGAGGTTTCGGCAGCCTAGTCCTAACACAATAGATGTATGAAAGTACAAGTCGTTGTGAGTAAAGTTTCATTTTCGGCTTCAGACAAAAATCGTGCTTTGTGTTTAAGTTGTTTCTGTACGCTTATGTTCATTTTATCCTTCTGTATATCTTTTGAGGTGAAATGTGTGGTTGATGTTGTCTATTGAAGTGACCTATCTATGAAACATGCTATAGAATCTCTGTCTACTGTTAAGTATTTGTTAGCTGTCGTTCCACCTTCAAGTTTGTCTTACAATTACACACACACACACAAAATGTTGTTGTTTCATTTAAGTAAAGCGAAATATACTTCACAGTCATGAGTGTGGTGTGTATTTTTACTATGGCTCGAAAAGACTTATATCTTAAATGATTCGTTAGGAGGTTGACAGTCATTCAATTTAAACTTGTTAAGTATGACTGTTTTCCTTCCAGATGAAGTTCTTTATCCGTTCTCCACCTATAGTTTCACTTTTTATCTATGTTGTTTTATTATTATTGTTATTATTATGTGGCGCATCTTCTTGGTGCGATATTGTACCAAGTTTTTCGAGTTTAAATAAATAAAACAAATAATTCTGGGACCGAAGCTTTAATCATGTCTAAGCATTAACAATGATGTTATTCAGTGGATGGGGACTAGCAGTGATTTTCAGTATGCTTATTTCGTCCCATTTGAGACTCGTCAGCTAACGGTTGTACTAGGAGCCGATATGTGCATAGAGACAGACCATTTCGGTCCAGTATAATCAATCAACGGTAAATACCTAATTAACTTAAACCAATAATAACTGGTACTGATTACACAAGAGGTGGCTGTCTGGCTCAAGCGGTTTTGGCGTTTGAAATGATGGGTGCTGGGGAACATCATCACTCACTTGATGGGTAGTAGGTATTTCCGTCTGACCAGTCACAAATGGGACGAAATGCACATCGTGGATTCACTCCTGATCAGCAAACTCGAAATAATATTTTTCTCGAAAAATCAGAGTGTCTGTTTTTACCACTTTACAACTTAAGATATGAGTGAATAAACCAAATACTTGGTCCAGTAAGTGGACTTAATCTCTCACTTTTATTTCTGTAGTACATATATATATATATATATATATATATATATATATATATATATATATAAATGACTCATGTTATCCTACTGACAACGTTTTACTAAATTATTCACACTTCCGTACATATTTGCTCATTGGTTTGTCGTCACATTTCTGATCAATTCTTTTTTAACGTTGTACTTGTGTGTATTGTGTAGAGAAGCAGCTCCTCGGCTTAAGCACGGTTTACAGCCAATGATCACAGAGTCAAGTCCCGCAGCTGGCTAGTATCATCAGCCGTCATACGACAGAAGTGCAGCTGTTAGACTGGCACATGAAAAACCTGTTCTAGGCAATTCAACCGAGTGCACTACGATAAACTGAACTGATATGTATATCTGTGCACACAGTTCTCCAAATATTCATCAGTCTATTCATAACATTTGTTGATTATTGTTTGAATGATTCAGTTTCAAATAATTTTCTGCTATCAAATGACCATGGAGGTATTTGTAGAGAACGTGATTCGAAATATATACTATTCATACTGAAGTGGTTACAACGATCGTTTCGGTATAAGTGTGTATGAAAATTTTGTCTGCAGTATTCTTCAGCTTATTTACGTACATCTGTATGATAACAACGAATAACTTTTTCTCTCTCACATGAGAAAGTTTGCCATTACTGCTTCTAATAATAAAATTGTTATTTATCTTAGATTTAGTATATACTATTGTTGATTGAAATCTCTTCTGCATAAAAGATTAAATTAGGATTAACAACTCTTTAGTTAACTATATTGCGAAACTTATTGATTAAATATTATTAAAGCTCTGGTACTGAAGCTCTCCGATTATTGATCCTTAGGTGTTACAATAACTGACAATAAGAGATTTTGTCGATCGGTCTGGTATTTTGCTTCAGCAGAACAAAAAGGTTTGTCCCATTCAGTTTCACTCAATGAAACAATACTTGTAAAATAGAAATGGTATAATTTGCAGCTTACGTATTATGTTTACTAGTCAAAACTGTTTGTGAATTTTTATAATTTCACATCGACACTAATTACATTAGAGGAGGTAACCTCTGTCAAATCTCTCGCTTTGATGGTGATTGGTGCTGGTTGTTGCCGCTGTTTCTGTTGGTTGTTTGGTTCGTTATCTTCATCACTTCCGTCTTCTCTATGTTCACCTGGAGTCCTGTCCTCACTGGCTGCTTCTGCAGCCAGCCAGTTTGTTGATTTCTCCTGCCAGCAAGTCTTCGAGTTTGTGACATTAGACACCTATCATCCACTGAAGAAATCCAGATCTTCTCGAGTCTTCTTATCGCTCAGTGCAGCATATTCCCGTCTTCTCACTTCCTATGCACAGTCTGACGCATAATCCAGTCCACTACAATTAGGAATATCATCGGTGATAAGAGACAGACAG